CTCTCCCTCTCTCTCTCCCTCTGTCTCTCATGAATAAATAAATAAAATCTTTAAAAAAAAAAAAAAAAGAAAATACTTTGAGGTAATGAAGAAAACATACCAAAACTTATGGGATGCAAGTAGAGCAAACTATACTTAAAGCAAATCAGAAGAAAAATTAGAGTGGAAATTAATGAAGGAATAGAAAAATAGACAAAAATCAATGAAACCAAAAGTTGGTTCTTTGAAAAGATCAACAAAATTGGCAAATCTCTAGCTACACTGAGCAAATAAAAACAGAAAAGATGAAGTACTAAAATCGGGAATAAAAGGAGACACTACTACCTATGTTGTAGGGAAAAAAAGGTGTTATAAAGGAATTTTATGAACAATGGTTTGCAAATACATTGGACAACTTTGCATGAAATGGACTACTAGTTAGAACCACAAATTATCAAAACTGACTTTAAAAAGAAATAGAAAAGCTTAAGAGCCATATAACAAATTGAATTAGTAAACAATTGTCAAAGAAAAGCCTATGCCCAAGTGGTTTCACTAATGAATTCTACCCAAACATCTATAAAAAATGTTTAAAATTCTTCACAAACTCCTCCAAAGAGTAGAGGAAGATCACTTCTCAACTCATTTTATGAGGCCAGTTAAGCAAACAAAGACAACAGCATTATAAAACTATTGAGAACATCTCTTCTAAACACATATGAAGAATTCCTCAACGAAATACTAGCAAACTCAATCTGGCAACATAAAAAAAAAGGATTATATACCATAATTGAGTGGGACTTAGCCCAGGAATGCAAAGTTGGTTTAACATTCAGGAAATCAATTAATGTAATACACCATATGAAGAATAGAAAATAAAGGAAATCATTCTTTGCTCACACTAGGGGAATGTAACAAAGGATAAAGAGTTCAAATTTCCTTTATCTTTTAAAAATAAAGTATAAATAACCCAAGTGAAAGAGAAAAGGACGGAGGAAATATTCCAGATCAAATGAGACTACAGAAAAATGAAAGTTCAATATCTGACCCTAGACTCAAGCCTGTACTGGGAAGATAAAATGCTATAAAGGTCATTATTGGGCCAACTGACATAATGGGAACATGGATAAATAAAAGTATCAATGTCAAACTTACTACAGTTGATAACTTTACTGTGATGCTGTAAGAACATCCCTACTCTTAGGAAATACACACTAAAATACTTAGGAGAAAAGAACCGTTATATATATATATATATATATATACACACACATATATATATATACACACACACATATATATATGTATGGGAGAGAGAGAGGACAAATGATAAAACAAATGGGGTGAAATATTAATGACAGATGAAATGATAGTTTCTTTTTGAAATTATTTACAAGTTAATAATGTGGACAGCCCACCCCTGCCCCGGGGGGGCAAACACATTATTGATGGAAGTGCTTATATTAGCAGGATACTTTTTACACTCCTTTTCTGAGATTCCAGTAAGACAGGGTGCCTGGGTGGCTCAGTTGGTTGAGCGTCTGTCTTTGGCCTGGGGCATGATCTCAGGGTGCTGGGATTGAGCCCAGAATTGTCATTGTTGGGCTCCCTGCTCAGCAGGAGTCTCCTTCTCCCTCTACACCGCCCCCCCCATATAAACAAATAAAATCTTTAAAAAAAAAAAAAGGGACGCCTGGGTGGCTCAGTCGGTTAAGCGTCTGCCTTCACTTCAGGTCATGATGCCAGGATCCTGGGATTGAGTCCCACATCGGGCTCCTTGCTCAGCAGGGAGCCTACTTCTCCCTCTGCCTGCCACTCCCCCCTGCTTGTGCTCTCTCGCTCGCTCGGACAAATAAATAAAATCTTTAAAAAAATAAATAAACGATTCTAGTAAGACAATGATACAGTGAAGAAAGCATTAGCTTGAGTTTTACCTTTCTTACTGATAATGCATTAGCCTGTTTTCTAATGTGTAAAATAGACTGAGTTACATGAATAATGAAACCTGCTGAGTAAAATACACTTAAAATATAATTTTACTGTTTTAAATACTAGAACTTTTTAGTTGTATCTTATTATTTTATGCCATTAATCATATCTGGAATTTTTAATGCTCAGATAGAAGTCTCTAGGAACTAAGAAACAAAAAGACTCTTTTGGTTGGCATATTCCACACACTTCTAACTTTATGATAGTTTAACATTTCTCCTGCCAGTCTTTCAATTACTTGTTTCTTTCTCCATGTTTATCAAATAGCTTAATGTATGAGTGAATAAAGTTATTGTACGGCATAAACTATACTGTAAATTTAAATACAGAGCCTCCTGCTATTCTAAGGAAAAGTACTGCACGGTGTTGGGTGAACACAGAAACTTCATTAATACAGAATTATATTTATTATCACCACTGACACCAACTCCATTTATAATTTTGTACTGATGCAGACTTCTGGATCTTAGATCCTATTCTAAAAAGAGGGATTTATTAATGTGACCATCTCCTTGACTTCATGCCCCTAACCTAATAATTAACTACAGGTACTTGTAATTCCGAAACAGCCCGCTATTTGTTTCCCTAACTCCATGCCTTTCCACACAGTTCTTTGAGCCTGAATTGTCCTCTAGCTGGCACTCCCCTTCCTACAGAGCTGTCATTTGCAAAGGTCTGCTACTAGTACCCTGCCTTCTTACATCTGTACTTAGACATAATTCTACTTTTGCATTTAATTGCTCTGTGATAATTATTTGTAGACCTGTCTCTCCTACTAACCATCGAGTTCTTTGATGGCAAACACTCTCCAGAGTTTAGCACTATGTCTAACAAATAGCTCACACTTAAGTTCTTAGTAAGTCAAAGCAGTAAGTGCTTACTACTTGGCAAGATGCTGTTCAAAGTACTATGCCGTATTAACTCATTTAATCCTTATGCAACCTCATAAGGTTGGTATTATTATTAAGCCCATTTTGAAGATGAAGAAACATGCACAGAAAAGTATCTTTCATTTTTAAAGTATTATACGATCAGAATAAAACATGTTATACACACTCTCAGCTTCCAATCTTGACCAAGAAACATTACAGAGTTCCATTCTAACCTACTAGGAGTCAAACTGCCACATAAACTCGGTCATCTGTAATTGAAAATCTCTACCATGCCTTCCCAACACATGATGATTCTAACTAGTCTGCTCTTCATCAGTATTAAGAAATTTATCCTAGACTAGAAAGTTCAGAATCTCTCATCTTTCTGGTTCCAGATTAGCAAATCTAAACCCTATTGGTTCTTTCTTAATCTACTTACCCACTCCCTTCTATTTCATCTACCACAAATGATGTGCAAAAGCTGCAAGCAAGTAATACTATCCTTAATGTTTTCAACACATTCATTTTGGGACAGAGACTATATAGCATAGTCAGACTGCTCGGGTTTGAATTCTGGCCACTGGGCTCTAGCTGTGTCACCAACGGCGTAAATTAATCTTGTGGACCCTCAGTTTCCCTCCTCTGTAAAATGAGGCTCCTGAACCACTTGCCTCACAAGGAGTCCTTGTGAGGATTCAACGAGTTGCAAACCGCTTTCAACAATGCCCGTCAGATAAAAAGCTTCAACAAGTGTTATTAACAGCACACTCTGCTCCTCAAACGCTGAGGCGCTCCCCACTGACAGAATAAAAGCTAAATACTTAAGCTTGACATTCAAAAAATCTTCAGTCTGATTCCAGTCTACCTCCCCAGGCATACCTTCCACTATTTTGCTACCCAATTCTCAACTCTTGCCCAAATGACCAGCAATGGAACCTGCAGCTCAAGAGAGGACCCTGCCCTCTTTTCAAAATTTCGGTACTTTTCTACCTGCCCTTCAGGGTTCAACTCAAATCTCACCTCCTCTCCAATCTTTCCCCACCCACCCAAACCTGGGGTAACGTTCCCCTCCCCCCGAATTCCCGCAGCACTGGCCGTTCAACGGCTCGTTTGGCATTCACTCCGCTTTGCAATGTAAATTATATTCCTCCGGCTCCCGCAGTAGCGTTGAAGTCTAAGGGTGGGGGTGTGTCCGCTTCTTTGTGTATCAGACCCGCTGGCGGTGCCTAGAATGTGCACGAATAGGCAATTTGCTGTTGCTACAAAAGTTACTCGCTGACGGAAAAACTGGTCCGAAAGGGAACACGACAGAGCCGTTTACAAACTGGGCAGGTGCCGAACAGTTCTGGCATGGAGAGGAAGGGGTGGGGGGTGGTCCCGAAGGTTTCCTTTGAAGCGGGGAGGCGGGGGCCGGGCCTTAGCCAAGGAGCGCGCGGCTCCGGGAGCTTCCCTTCGGGCTGCGCGGGCAGAGGTCGGGGGGGGGAGGCATGGGGAGGGGGCGCGCGAGCGCGGGGCGCGGAGACGCAGCGAGTCCCCCCGCCCCCTCACCTTCTCCTCCTCTTCCTCCTCCTCCTCCTCCTCCTCCTCCCCGGCGGAGCTGTAGGCCTCACAGTGGTGACGCGGGGTCATCCGGGGGCCCGTTACCACCCCATTTTCCTCAGCGCGCGGCGGCGGGGCGCGCGGGACAAGGACTGGACCGACTGAGGAGGGAGAAGAGGGGGAACCGGGCCGGGGGGGGGCGCGGGCGCTGGCGATCGAGCGGGACGCACGGCTGCGGCCGGTGGGTCAGCGAATTAGTTCCATGACTCCCCCGGACCTAAGGCTGCCGCAGCCACCGCCGGTCCCACTCCTCCAACCGCCGCCGCTAGTGCCCGGGTGGGGAGGGGGTTCCCTCTCGCCATAGGGCGGCGGGGGCCGGGGAGAGGCGGGGAGTGAGACCGGCTCTGCCCCTGCCCGGGGGAAGTGTCTTCGAGGGGAAATGGTGAAAGGGGGGGGAAGGAGGGTAAAAGGAAAAAAAAGGAAGGGGAAAGGGGGAGAAAATAAGAAAAAGCGAGACAGAGGCGCTGCCGCGTCCGCTCGCGGGGAAGGTTGGGGAGGGAGGGGAGGAAAGGAAAAAGTGCCGGCTTCCTCAGCTCCGCCCTCGCGGACCGATTCCTAGACTTGCTTACTCCCTGTAAACAACGCTGAAGTCGTCCTTCTCCCTCCCCTTTTTTCCTTTCCGTGGCCTTCACCGTCCAGCGAACATACAGAGGAGTCCGGTAAAAAGCTGGCTGTTGGAGACGGGCGGGGGAAGTCTTTAGTACTGGGGTGGAAGGAGGGAAGACATTTCCTACAGGCTAAGGAAAGTCAAAGGTGCGCGGACTCGTTTTCCTAGGAGAAGCGGAAGGGCACATCAGCAGCACACGGTGACGTAAGCTCCCTCGGCTTGCTGGCAGAGGCGTGCGGTGCCCGGAGAGTACGCTGCGCATGCGCCCCGGGGAAGAAAGAAGGGGCTGAGTGCTCTGCTTGGGGGTGGGGTTCTGTCTGGATGCTCTTTTGGCCCACCGCAGAGCTACCTAATGTTATCCAACCTGATAAGTGTCTAGGGCTTGTAAGAAGAATTTATTGGGAAGGGGCTGGTGTTTTGTTGTGTAAAGATTTTGCATTCTTTGTTGACCTCGCAAAAAATTGTCTATTACGTACGTATAAGTAGAATTGCGGTTTTTTCCGGTGGCACATAGTGGATGGAGGTAGACTGTCAAGCACTTTAGAAGTCTGGCAGTTTGGAGGATCATATCCTTAAGCACTGTCTTGGGTGTTAAAGGCCTTTTAAAAGGTAAATTATACTATTGATGGCGGGGAACCTGCTTGGTAATGTGCCAAGGGAATTCTATTCACTGAACCAACACATCTGAGTATTTGAGTAGGTTTTATTACCAGGTGTTTAACGAGTATGTGGTGACATATAAATGTGTTTTATTTGAGGTTCTTTTACCTATGATAATTTTTGGCTCATCTTTTAATTGTTTTAGTTATAGAAAGAATATGTGGAATTACAGAAAGTTTTGAAAGAGGAAAGGGGAAAAAAACAACCATTTATAGGAGTGGTCTCCTTTGTGTTTTCCATTTCTGTTTTTTATATGCCTATTTTACCAGTCATTGAAAAAATTTGTATTGAGCTTATTCAGGTGGCCAGACGCAGTGGTAAGCTCTAGCAAACTGGAAGTAACCAAGACAGAAATAGCTCCTGCCATCATGGAGTGTACAATCCAAACAGGATAAATATTAAGCTAATTATCATTATCTAAGATTACCTGGTACATATTTACCCAAAGAATACAGAAACACTAGTTTGAAGGGATATGTGCACGCCTGAGTTTATTGCAGCATTATTTACAATAGCCAAACTATGGAAGCAGCCCAGGTATCCATCAATAGATGAACAGATAAAGAAGATGTGGAATATTACTCAGCCATAAAAATGATGAAATCTTGCCCTTTGCAACAAGACTGGATCTAGAGAGTATAATGCTAAGTGAAATAAGCCAATCAGAGAAAGACAAATACGTGATTTCACTCATTGTGGAATTTAAGATACAAAATAGCTAACGAAGGAAAAGAGAGAAACCAAAAAAACCAGACTCAAATATAGAGAACATATGGTTACCAGAAAGGGGGGGGGATGGGTGAAATAGATGAAGGGAATACATAGTACACTTAGCTGATGAGCACTGAGTAATATATGGAACTGTTGAATCAGTATATTGTACAGCAGAAACTAATATAACACTGCATGTTAACTACACTGGAATAAAATGAAATAAAAAATAAAATTACCCAGGACATTGACTTGTATACGTGTGCATGAATTCCCTCCCTAGAATATAAGGTCTGGGATGGCAGGGATCTTGCGTGTTTTGTTTCACTCTGTATCCCTGCATGTAATAACCTTTCAATATTGGATTACTAACTGAATAAACAATTACCAGTATCAAAAGTATTAAGATGGAAAATTGCAGACTACTATGGAAATACTTAACCTTATACTAGGTAGGGATGTCAAAGAAGGTTTTTCTGAAGAAGTGACATTTAAGATGAGACTTGAAACCACTGGGCAAAGAAGTGGGGGAAAAAGTGATACAGGCAGGGGAACAACATGTACAAGGGTTCTGAAGCTAAAAGGTTGTAGAAAAAAAAAATCTCTGAAGGGTAGTGTATATAGCTGGTCCTGAGAATTGAGGGGGCGAGAATTGAGGTCCTTAGGTCCATAGGACAGAGCCGAGGATGGGAAGCCCAGGAAGGATTTTAAGTGGGTTTTATCCTTTTTTCACTTCATGTAGCCTTTTTCCATATTACTGTGTGGTTTTCCTTCTACATGGCCAACATTTTTCTACAGAGTATTTTTGAGAGTGTAGCATTTCTGCATAATACCTTTGGGAGTGCAGCATAATTACGTTGTTGGACCATGATTTTCACTCCTGTAAGAATCATATAAATTCTACTTCGAGATAGGTGGCCAAGAAAAATGAGAGTATGTCCAAGCAAAAACTTGTCCATGTAGGGCACCTGGCTGGCTCAGTCAGAGCATACAACTCTTGATATCAGGGTTGCAAGTTTAAGCTCCGTGCTGGGTGTAGAGATTCCTTAAAAAATAAAAATTTTTAAAAATTTAAAAAAAAATTGTCCATGAATGTTCATAATAGCATTATTCATACAAGCCAAAAGGTGAAACCACACAAATGTCCACCAACTGATGAACACATAAATTAAACGTGGTATATCTAAACAATGGAATATTTGGTCATGAAAAGGAGGTATTGATGTATGGTGTAACGTGGATGATACTCAAAAACATATAGTCTTTTGTGACTGGTTTCTTTCACTTAGCATAATGATTCCATTTATATGAAATGTCCAGAATAGGCAAATCCACAGAGACAGGATTAGTGGTTGCTTAGCCTTCAGTGCAGAGATGGAATTGGGGGATGATAACCAAACGATGTTGGGTTTCTTTTTGAGGCAAACGTTCTAAAATTGATTGTGATGATGGTTGCATCACTCTGAATATACTAAAAACCATTGAACTGTACACTTAATTGGATTGAATGAAATGTGAATTATATACCAATAATGCTGTTATCAAAAAAAAATGAAAGAAAGAAAGAAAAGAATCCAATTAATTGTCATTCATAACCTTTTTTGGATTATTCCTGGGTCCAATGGTCCTTACAGTTTTATGGATTTTGTTGGATACCAACTGCCAAGTTGTTTAGCAGAGGGGTCAAACCAATTAAAACATAACTGGGAACATGTAGAGCTTCTATTTCGTTATATACTTAACCTTTTTGAAGTTTAGGTTTATTAAAATGATCCTACTGTCTGTGAGAGGCCAGTGACCATCTAGCCTACAGCACTGTAAATGTAATTTCAAGTAATTAATAGGTGGTAAGGAACAAGTTCCAGTTGTCCTAACAGAAACTATCAGCATTCTTCTACACTGTTCACTCACAAGAGCTTACTTTTTATCAACGCCTCTTTTTCCTTAATAACTGTGACATTGCTTTTACAATGGTTGTAGTTGTAAAAAAATGGAAAGCCTTTGAAATTCACTGAGAAAATAAATAAGGCATATGAGGAAAATATGTTAATATCCATTTATTGGTATGGAATTCATATTTTTTCGTTTTCTCAATCTTTTTAGAAATGTTTCCCTTTTGTCCTAATAGTAAAAAAAAATAAGTATCTTTCTACATGGCACTTGCAAATAGTAATAACTAAAATGTATTGATTACTTACAATACAAGGCATTGCACTTTTAGTACATTCTCTCATTTTTAGCCCCACAGCACTACTCTGTAATAGGTGTTTTTTTGTTGTCCCATTTTACAGAAGATAAAGAGGTCCAGTAAATCTGCAAGATTGGTCACAAACTTGGAGAGGCACAGCCAGGATGCAAACCTAGCTTGTCTGACTCCAGAGCCTGCGGGCTTTCGATTACTACCCTTTCCTGCCTCACCTTGTGGGTATTTCTGGCTTCCATGAAATCTTTGAATAAAAATACTCACCCTCTGGTTATTTTTGTCTTGCCTTTAATCTTAGAACATATGTTTTTTTAAGTTTTTAGTTAGCAGTTTATATTTGTTTCTAGAGAGTTTATTTTTGCTTAAAAAGGGGTTATTCAATTTTCTTAGACTTGTTTTATTTCATGACTGGAATATTGAATCTTGAAATAAGGAACATGCCTTGCTTCAAATGCAGAGTGGTAGAGTAAGGAAACACCTGAGAAATAGTGTTACTGTCATAGGAAAGGATCTGCTCTGAAATGCAAAATGGTGTCAAGTGAGACACCCCTCCCCCCACCTTGGAAAGTCTAGGACAACTGAAGGGAATCAAGCTGATGAGCACAAAGTGGTTTGCCATTCTTAATCTTTCAAGAAAAATAATTAGAAGTGCAGTGCATACATTTTTATGAGTATAAAAGACAAGGCTACTAAATCTTTAATGACAGAAATTTCTGGTCTCCTTTGTCTTAAATGAAACTTTTAGGGTAATGTTCCCAGCAGACAATTTATGAAGGTACTGTCTTGTAGGAGAAATACGGAGGCCTACAGGAACAAAGGAAATGATTTATTGTCACTTTAATCACTTATCATTAGCATCTGCTTACACTCAGGGATCCTTTTTACAGCTTCCAAAATATGTTTTCATTAATCCCTACAGTGACAGAATGAATATAAGAGGAGTAAACCTCCCAAATAGACATCAAGAGGAAAGGAGTCCCCATTCATCAAATAGTAGAAAGACCTCATACTTACTATTAGGTGGGGAGAAAATGCTCAGGCCAAACAAGTCAAAAATTCTAAAATAGGAACCCACAAGCTGCCATCCAGACTTTACCCTGAATGTAAGCTGGCTTTAGGTTTCTCATTGTAAGGTGCTTATTTAGAAAGACCTCACCTGAAGGGATCATTGGTTGCATGCTTCATTAAGAGTGCCCTCAGAAGTCAAATAGCAGCCACCTATTTGAAATTTGTAAACCAAAAGATCTTCAGTAGAAACTTTATTCTTTTGTTGTTCTTGTTGGAAGAAAAATACACCATTTAAATAACACCACTTTACTCTTTCACAAACTGTTTTGAATTCCTGAACCACCAAATTTAGTAAATTCAGAAAAAAATCCTTTTTTGAAAATTGAGATTTTATTTATTTGAGAGAGAAAGAAAGCACAAGCAGGGGGAGCGGCAGAGGGAGAGGGAGAAGCAGGCTCCCCGCTGAGCAGAGATCCAATCCCAAGACCCCGGGATCATGACCCAGTCCGAAGGCAGACACCCAACCGACTGAGCCACCCAGGCGCCCTAAAGATATATTATATAATCAAACTACCAATACACTTTGTTTCTTGTCAAACATTTATGGGGGATGTATGGAGAGAAAGGTAAACATCTTCCAAAGTGTATTTTTAGTATCATCACAACATGTTTACTGCAACCCTTATTTCTTCTGAGTAAAGGAAAAAAAAGAACTGTTTGGGGAATCAATTTAAATTGTCCACAATCAGGGTTTTCCAAGACTTCTTTCTCACATAACTAAGCTACTTTTATTACCAGACAGTGATGTAGTAAATACTGAGTCCCGGTTGCATACTGGGCTTGGCACTGTTAAGAGGTTGGAAGGTGAGTTATATATAGTCATGTTTGTAAGACATTTATTCGTTCAATCATTCAGTAATTCAGCAACATTTAGTAGCTGGGTGCTAGTGAGCAAGTTAATCAGCTTCTCTATAACTTGACCTCAGTTTCATCATCTGTAAAATGAGGGTAATAATTATGAGAATTAAATGGGACAATATTTGCAAAAGACTTAGAACAATGTATGACACAGGAGACACTAATTGTTAGCCTAACTTAAGAGTCCTTTATGTGCCAGGCTTGAGTTTGATTTTTTTTTTTCCACAATACAGTTAAAGATGGCCCACCCTCAAGCAGCTCTCGGCCTTGCAAGGGAGATGTACATGTTAATGAATGTTATTAATATAACATGAGAAGTTTTATAATAGTTACATGTAGAATGCTATGGGGAAACAGAGAAAGGAGAAATTCTGTATGTTGGTTAGAGGATGCTTCTATAGACTTGCATGCACCATTAATTATTTACTGTGTGTCAAATTTACAAAATTACAGTTGTGTAAAACAAGTATTTGGTGTCTCACAGTTTCTGAGCCTCAGGAACCACAACTATCTTAGCTGGGTAGTTCTGATTCAGGGTCGCTAATGAGGCTACAATGAGGTTGTTGGCTGGAGCTGATGTCATGAAGGGCCTGGAGAATGTGCTTCTAAGTTCAGTAAAGTGACTATAGGCAGGAGGCTTCAGTTCTTGCCACTGGGCCTCTCCAAAGGGCTGCTCATGAACAGGCAGTTGGCTCCCCCATAACAAGTGATGAGAAAGACAGAGACAAACAGAAATGGAGAGACAGAGCGCCAAGGTGGAAGCTGCAGTTATTTCATGACCTAATCTGGGAAATGATGTACTATCACTTCCGCCATATTCTGCTCGCTAGAAGCAACTCACTAAGTCCAGGCTATACTGAAGGAGAGGGGGATTAAACATGAAGGGAAGAGTATCAAAGAATTTGTGAACATCTTTTTAAAACACCGCAGGTATGGAAGAAAAAGTAAGGGTTAGCTATGTAGACAGGAACAAACTTATGACAAGCAAGGAAATAGCAGAAACAAAAGAATAGAGAATCGAGGGGAAATTGTTATGAGGAAATCGACTTAGAGAGGTAAAGTAGCTTTCCTATCATGTGTTAAACAGTTAGTAAATGGCAGAGCCAGGATCTGAACCCATATTTCTGGTTATAGAATCCAGATCTTATGACTGCCTATATTAGGCAAGGTTCTTCCGAGAAACAGAACCAAAAGGATGCATCTATGTCAACAGCCACATCTGTATCTATATGGAGAGAGAGAAACAGAAATTTATTCTAAGGAATTAGCTCACATGATCATGGAGGCTTGGTAAGTCCAAAATCTGCAGAGTAGGCTGGCAGACTAGAGACCCAGAGAAGAGTTGCAGTTCAAGTCCAAAGGCAGTCTGATGACAGAATTCCTTCTTGCCCAGGAGAGGTCAGTTTGTGCATATTTCAGGAAGCCTTCGACTGATTAGATGAGGCCCACCCACAGTATAGAGGGTAATCTGCTTTAAAGTCCAATTTAAATGTTAAATCTCATCCAAAAAAATACCTTCACAGAAACATCTAAAATAAATGTTGACCAAATATCTGGGCACTGTAGCCCAGCCAAGATGACAGATAAAATTAATCATCATACTACCCTATACAGTAGAGGTAATTTGGGGTTCAGATAGCAAAGGGCCCCAAGTGCCATACTAAGCAGTTTGTTGAATCTACAATTAACCAATAGCTCTCTCATGGCTCTATCATGTCTAATCAGACATGACCTTGAACATCTGATAATAGTGGAGTGTTCCCATAGAATATTATAATTCTGTTAGAGAATGTCCATTGGACTATTTGTCTATCAGGCTTCATCTTCAGTATGTTTTGACAAATGAAAAATTTGGTTTTATTGACACTGTACTTTTTCCTTTCAAGACTTCCCAGTCCACATAGTTTTAGTAATTAGCCTTTCACATATTTCAAAATGTTTACTCATTTCAAAAATATTTTTCTCTCTTATTTATTCTCCCCATTTGGACTTTTTTCTCTTAACTTTTTCTTTTTTTTTTTTTTGTGCCTTATTTCAAGGATTCTTTTTAGCCATACTCCTACCAGAGTGAAATATGAAATTAGGAAGGAAGACAAAAATGTAGGTGGGGAAAAAAAGAACCCAGTTTATATACCAGCTGGACTTGGTGGTTCTAAAAGTATAAATATTGTTGAAGCATCATTTCTTTGCAGAGGGTGCATAAAGCTGAAAAGCTGTTTCATCCTTGCTGCTGGAGAGATTTCTCTTTGTAGCTAACATAGAGCAGGGAACTCTTTACATTTTTCTTGGAGCCTCAGAATTTAAAATCCTAATGGTCCCAGCCTGCTCTTTTGGCCTACTCATATTCTGGGTCCTCACTGAGGACAAGACACAGATGGGGTGGACAGGAGAGTCTTGTGAGGCCACTTGAAAGTGATCTGAATTACAGGTCTATGATTACATCCTGCCAGAGCAGGAGAGAACAGGAAGCAAAGTCTAGAAAACCAGCAGAATAAAAGATGCAACAAACTAGAAGCAAAGCAGAACTGGACTTGCACAAAAAATGGGGGCAGAGACCTGGTGGTAAAGCATAAAAGAAGGCAAGAGAATTTGGGAATTAGTTCCACGGATATAGCCCACTTTTCACTTTCCCTCTTAAACACAACGTTATATAATTTATGAGCTTCAGAGCACCCATGGGTGGATAACACCAGTAGCTGGTTTGGTGAATTCTATTAAATGAGCAGATTTTGTGGGTGAGTGAAGAAGACATCAGCATCATTTGAAGGAGATGCTAGTTTCCTAAAAAAGAAACATTTAATCCATCAGTGCTACTCTGTGTTCCTTTCTTTCCCCCAACACCCCCTCAGTGCTACTGATCATCCTACAAGCCCAACCAAGTATGATTTCCATCTTTAGTGCTATAGGAAAAGGCCTTCATTAATAGCATGAAGAAACAAAGATTTTACCAAAATCGGTTTCTTTTATTTTCGAACATACCAACACAAATATTATGTCAATGAAGAAAGGAGATTTTGATAGTTTATCTTTCTGTTTTTAATGAGATTAAATCTAAACCAACTTGGAAAAATAGTTTTCCTATTTTACCTTGAAAGATTGCCACTGGAAGTATTCCATAAATTCTCTAAGTAATCCATCCACAGGAATATTGTCCACCTTTTAACTGTGTTCCTTCGCATATTTCAGGAAGCTATTAATATATTACTCATTTGAATTGTGTGATAGCAGAAATTAAGACCCCCAGATCTAACCATACAAATATACTCTTTGGATCAACCCATGTAGAAAATGATCAGCTAATTTTGACTTAAAGCTTATTTATATTTATAATCACTTGCATTTTAAAGCAAAAAAAAAGTACCCAAAATTTGCTACTATATAAGATAATTTCCATTCCTGAATCCATAATGTCTTCTGAGTGCTTGAGGATAAGTTTGGGTAAGGAAGAAAAATAATGCTGCAGAAATATGATGAGAGGAAACAATCTTTGTGCTAAAGAAACCAGTATTCAGTGGGACCTTCCCTTCCTCCTACAATATCAGATATTCTCCATCATGCTTCTCAGAGAGGGCCACTGATCAGTTTTTATAGGTCCATTGAAACTTGGCCTCCTGACCACTATCAGGAATTTACAACGTACATATAAATTGGTAATGAATATTAAAAGACTGATTTGAATGCCAAGTCAGGTTTTTTTCACCCAGAGAATTGTTGAATAGAACAGACTTCCTTTGACAGCTACTCCCACATATGTTATAATATATGCACCATATTCCTTACTGTAGAAAGTTACCATTAAGGCCACAGAAACTAGAATTTGTCTATATGAAAAAAACAAGGCTATATATGTTACTAATGATATTGCTTTGATATTTATACATAGTATTTTGCTATTTGCCTTTGCCTTTAATATGTATTTGCACTTTAGTTTCTAAAACTATGCAAAAGCCAAGTAGTTAGTTATTCACTAAGTTCTCATTAGTCACTGAATTCAATTTATAAAACTTTTACTGTCAGGTAGTAGCTGTAGACTTTTATAAGTTCGATACACATTAAACAAAGGAACCAAGACAAAATGTAATTTCTATGCTAACAAAGCCAGGATCCTTTATCATAATACTAAAATTATCCCTAATATTAGGAGTTAAATTAGAGTAAAAGCCAACATTAGAAAAGATTTTCATAAGGTTTTTTTGAGTGGAGGGCTTTTTCTTTTCTTTTTTTTTTTTTGTCTTAAGAGCCAACCATTTTACATTAAAAAAATTCATTAAAGTTTGTTGCAATCGATACATATTCTCATCTTCCACAGCAGCTTGAGGGGGTATAACCCAAGGGGTAGATGTCATGACAACAGGAATTTCTGGCTCTGAGCATCCCCTGTGTAAATGCTGGTACCCCAATCCTCCTAGCACTCAAACTTTCTCCTTTCCCTTGGCAGGTCCTAGAAGAGTAAACTTGATCTGCTTGACAGCCATTGAAAGAATTTCATCTCTGTTCTCTGCCTGATTGCCTTGGCACAGCTGCCCCTCTGGCACTCTTCAGATGGGTAATGACCTTGGTCTGACACCTAGGGGTCACTGCTTCACAGTTTGTGCTTAACCAACCATCACCGTCCTCACTGCTGATATTGGATTAGGTCCCTTGTAGTCAATGTCTATGTTATTCTGGGTGATGAGGCAGTGAAGTGAGCTTGGGAACTCTCTGTTTCTGCTGGTATTATAATCCTTTCAATGAATTTCTAAATGGGGTGGTCTTGCTTTCCACTTTTATAGTGCTCACAGTATCAAATTTTACATTGACACATTTCCTTATGGTTCTTAAGTCTTATGCTCTGACTCTGTCATCAACTTCTGCGGCACTGGGTCAGGTAACGTTTAAAGTGATACTACTTAACTCCTGAAGTGTCTGGACACTTTGACTCCCAGCTCTTCGGAGTGAGTTCCCTGCCTACTTCAGGTCACCCCCCAAAAAATTAGGGAGCAGCCTCTCTGTCTCGCCTGATCCCATCCTGTGGAGACTACCGTGAGTTCCAGAGTATTCTCTCTCCCTCTCCCTGTCTCTGACCCTCTCCCCATCTGTTTCTCGAGATCCATAAGAGCCTCTGGTGGCCCTACTTTTTAAAGTGCATAAGTAAAGAAAGTCCCCATGTTAAATGTAACTTTTACTTTTTAAGAGAAAAATTCACTTTCTGTCAACAAAGGCATAGAAACATAGAATTCTATTTATAATAGACTTATAATTACTCATTCATAGAATGTTAATGTAAATAATAATATGACTCTTCATTTAATATTACGGTTAGTTCAGAAAGAGATAAAGAGAAAACATTGCACCTGAAGATTATATTTAAAGTCAGTCTTTACTTTTCAGTTTTCTAAGTTTTATTTTTCTTATCAGAAACCATTTTGTATTTCGTTAGATCAACCATCTCGGTTCTTCAGAGTTAACTGGATTTTTATAAACTGTTATTCACAATCATTCAATAGTGTGTGTGTGTTTGTTTTTTGTTTGTTTGTTTTTTGTCAAGCCTCTTTTCTGAGTAGGGGCCTCAGTGAGGCTGTTGGGAAGAATTATTTCCTGGAATGAAATATCCTGGCCAGAGTGACACACTCCATGTTGTATTTGCCACGAAGTTGATGAAATTATGCCTTTTCAGCAGAGTGCCCCACATCTCCTTCTTTCAAGAGTAGGCATTTTCTTTCCTTTTCTTTTTTTTAAAGGTTTTATTTATTTGAGAGAGGGAGAGATGGAGAGGGAGCAAGAGAGAGAGTGGGAAAGTCAGAGGGAGAGGGAGAAGCAAGCTCCCCGCTGAGCAGGGAGCCCGATGTGGGGCTCTATCCCAGGACCCTGGGATCATGACCTGAGCCCAAGGCAGACACTCAACCGACTGAGCCACCTGGGCGTCCCTAGTGCAACAAACTCTTGAAGGCATTTTTAAACACAGCCTGGTACGTTGTGTGGTACAGACTGATGCTAATGTCGGTTGATTTTGCAAGCCACACTAACTAGTAAAAGCTGTGGTTATATGGGACTCTATCTGACTCAATAAACAAATATCCAAATGTTTATTGAGCATCAACTATGTACAAGGCCTTGGGCTGAGTTAAAATACTAAACTGAGCACAAGCTGACCACAGAGGCAGGAGAAAGTGTTACAAACACAAGTACGCTTATTGGGAAATATGCAGAGATCATAATTTTAGGGGGAAAACTGAGAACAGCTACGCAGATATTTTGTGGAACTTTTCCATGTGTTCTTAGGAAATACTTAGAGTTTCTACTTTCCTAAGTATTCTTAAACACTCTCTTTTATTCTAAGATCCTGGTAAAATCTTAGTGGATTGATCTCATCTCCCGGGGCTCTCTTTATTGCCCTGATATAGGTTTACTGTGCAGTGGTATATCTACCATCACTCCAAACATGTTCTGTGCTCTTCCCTTAGATTTATGTCAGGTTCCCATACATGGGAAGAGAATCATCTGAGAGGTCTGCACAATGATGGCCTTATTTAGGATAGTGCCTATGTTGTTGAAACAAAGGACTCAAACATACAGATACCAAAGTGGTGGCTTTATAATATGGGGAACACAATTCTGTCCATCTTGTTACTTTTCCATCCCTAGGGAGTTGGCTTCATTTTTGTGCCTGAAAAGAGCTCCCCACCACATCCTGATTCCAGCTTACTTGAAGGAGAAAGAGTGAAGGAAGCACCTGACACAGAAGTTGCATATATCATTTACTTACATTCCCTTTACTATGCAGTCATTAGCCATATTTGGATCTAGCTTAAACTATCCTTAGTATGGAAGATGAGGGATATTGAGAACAATTAGCAGACTCTGCCACATACTAATATGATCTGGATCTCTTAAAAAATTGTCTTTGAAAAACAACAAGAGCAGTTGTTGCTCTGGCATGCTACATCACTTCCATCCTAGTTCCCTTGAGATTCTTACTAGTACTTAGAATACTGTGCAGCAGTATACATACCTGTGCTGACTGTCCCTGCAAAAAGTGTAACCTCTGCACTGAGTGTCACAAAGAGCCATCTTAGATTATGGCTCTGATCACTACACTTTGAATGTACACTAACACTATAATATGTTAAAGATAGAACTAATACAAATAAGATTATGAAGCTGAATGTAACCCTTTCCTATGTAGCTAAAATCTCAACTTTCCAATGCCCTTCACTTTACTTTTTGTAGGTAAGGAGTCTTCCTGTTTGGCATCCTCATTACCCTACTTCATGCCTTGTTGATCTTCTTCTGTTGGTCTCCTGCTTGCCCATGAGGCTGAGCTTCAACACTCTCCTCACAGGAAGCCCTGCAGTCTTTAGCACATTCCACAGGATGTGCGCTTCCTTCCTTGACTACTCTGAAAACTGTGGCTGGCCAGTCCAGATTGTCTTGATTAGGGAATCTCTGCTGATGGGAACAGAAACCCCCTCCACTCAACTGTATCGGTGTGGGTGGGAAGATTGTTTATTGAAGGGATTCAGGGAATATCAGGGAATCTAATTTCAGAAGGTAGAGTCCTATTTCACAGGAAGTAGATAGCCATCCAAAAACTACTTTCTCTGGTGTCACATGATCTCTCATCTCTGCTCCTCTGGGTATGTCCATTTGTTCCATCCCCTCGACCCGTCCATTTCTGATCTCTCTAAGGCTTTTGAGGTTTGCTCCCCTACAGTTCTTATCTGAGACTTTGATTTGCCATGGTCGCATGGTTGCCCCAATCCTCCCTTGGTCGAGAGCTCCTCTGCACAATTAGAATAGCCTCAGTCTCTGTGCTTTGGTTCAACTTCTGAAATGGGAACATCTAATTGGCTCGGGCTGAATTAAGTGTCTACCCCTGGTTCAATCGGTTGTAGCCAGGAAAGCAGAGTCACCTGAGACAAGCAGGACTGTAGGCTAGAAGACAGATTCTCTTAGAATAGGCTGTGAGTGGGAAGATGACTGATATATCTATCAGACATAATCTTTTTAATATTTTTAACCCCAGTCCAAATTAGGCTGAGCAGAGTTAGTCCTGGAATAGTGTTAAACCTCTGGTTAGTTACAAAATACCATCTGACCAAATACCATAACTGATACCAGGGGTGATCCCCCAAAGGCACTACAGGTCAGCTACTCCCATGACCAGATAACTTGCTGCTTCTTGCCTTCATCCACTTAGGCTCAAGAATTGGCAGCTTCAGACTCTTCCATAGTGGTCTCAGCTTATGGAAACGTGGTGCATCTAAACACCAGGATTCCTTCTTATTTTAGACATGACTTCTTTATATCTCCTTTTGAAATCTTTCATGATTTCCATCATGTTCCTTTGAATTACATGATCTGTGGGTATCATTTAGAAACACAGAAATATACATTACGAGTTTACCTACAGCAGGAGTAGGTTGAGGTTTCTGTGGGTATTGAAGCTTACACAGTTTTAGAGACATTTTTAAAGAAAAAAGAATATAAAATTATCAAGACAAAATTGGGTATGAAATTGTATATATATACCACATCTTCTTTATCCATTGATCTGTTGATGGACATCTTGGCTCTTGCCACAGTTTGGCTATTGTGGACATTGCTGGTATAAACACTGGGGTGCACATACCCCTTTGGGTCCCTACATTTGTATCTTTGGGGTAAATACCCAGTAGTGCAATTGCTGGATCGTATGGTAGTTCTATTTTCAACTGTTTGAGGAACCTCCATACTGTTTTCCAGAGTGGCTGCACCAGCTTGCATTCCCACCAACAGTGTAGGAGGGTTCCCCTTTCTCCGCATCCCCGCCAACATCTGTCGTTTCCTGACTTGTTAATTTTAGCCATTCTGACTGGTGTGAGGTGATATCTCATTGAGGTTTTGATTTGGATTTCCCTGATGCCAAGCGATGTTGAGCACTTTTTCATGTGTCTGTTGGCCATTTGGATGTCTTCTTTGGAAAAATGTCTGTTCATGTCTTCTGCCTATTTCTTGATTGGATCATTTATTCTTTGGGTGTTGAGTTTAAGGAGTTCTTTATAGATTTTGGATACTAGCCCTTTATCTGATATGTCATTTGCAAATATCTTCTCCCATTCTGTCGGTTGTCTTTTGGTTTTGTTGACTGTTTCTTTTGCTGTGCAAAAGCCTTTTATCTTGATGAAGTCCTAATCGTTCATTTTTGCCCTTGCTTCCCTTACCTTTGATGATGTTTCTAGGAAGAAGTTGCTGCGGCTGGGGTCGAAGAGGTTGATGCCTGTGTTCTCCTTTAGGATTTTGATGGAATATTATGCAGCCACAAAAAGGAATGAAATCTTGCCATTTGCAACGACGTGGATGGAACTGGAGGGTATTATGCTGAGTGAAATAAGTCAATCAGAGAAAGACATGTATCATATGACCTCACTGATATGAGGAATTCTTAATCTCAGGAAACAAACTGAGGGTTGCTCGAGTGGGGGGGGGTGGGAGGGATGGGTTGCCTGGGTGATAGACATTGGGGAGGTAATGTGCTATGGTGAGCACTGTGAATTGTGTAAGACTGTTGAATCACAGACCTGTACCTCCGAAACAAGTAATACATTATATGTTAAAAAAAAAAAAAAAGCAGGAGGGGAAGAACGAAGGGGGGAAATCGGAGGGGGAGACAAACCATGAGAGACTATGGACTCTGAAAAACAAACTGAGGGTTCTAGAGGGGTGGGGGGTGGGGGGATGGGTTAGCCTGGTGATGGGTATTAAGGAGGGCACGTACTGCATGGAGCACTGGGTGTTATATGCAAACAGTGAATCATGGAACACTACATCAAAAACTAATGATGTAATGTATGGTGATTAACATAACAATAAAAAATTGGGTATGAAATTGATCCTCTATTTCAAATGAAATAGGAAACACAAGAGATATCTTTTTAATAAATGGTTCTTAAATTTCACTGGGCATAAAAATAACATGGCAATCTTATGAAAATACAGATTTCTAGACAAGGATGCCCACTCTCACAACTTTTATTCAACATAATACTGGAATTCTTAGCCAGAGCAATTAGGCAAGAAAAAAAAAAATAAAAGGCACCCAAATCTGAAAGAAGTAAAATGATCTGCGTTTACAGATGACATGATACTACATATAGAAAACCCTAAAGACTCCACCATAAAAACTGTAGAACTAGTAAACAAATTCAGTAAAGTTGCAGGATACAAAATCAACATACAAAAGGCAGTTGCCTTTTTATGCCCTAACAACTAACTATTGGAAAGAGAAATTAAGAAAACAATTGCATTTATAGTAGCACCAAAAAGAATAAAATACTTAGGTATAAATTCAATCAAAGAATGAAAGACCCATAAACTGAAAACTGTAAAACACTGATGAAAGAAATTGAAGAAGACACAAATAAATGGAAAGATATGGATTAGAAGAATTAATATCATTAAAATGTCCATACTACCCAAAGCAATCTACAGATTCAGTGCAATCCCTATCAAAATTCCAATGGCATTTCCACAAAAATAGAACAAACAATCCTAAAATTTGTATGGAAACAAAAAAGACCCCAAATAGCCAAAGAAATCTTGAGAAAGAAAAATAAAGATGGAGGCATCAAACTTCCTGATTTCGAGCTACAGTAAACAAAATAGTATGGTACAAACAGAACAGAAACATAGATCAGTGAAACAGAATGGAGAGCCCAGAAATAAACCCACACATATATGGTTAATTTCTGACAAAGTTGCCAAGAATATACAATGTGGAAAGGATAGGGTCTTCAATAGAGAGCCACATGCGAAAGAATGAAGCTGGACTCCTATCTTATATCATACACAAAAATCAACTCAAAATGGTTTAAAGATTTGAACATAGACCTGAAACTATAAAACTCCTAGAAGGAAATATAGGGAGAAATCTCCTTGACATTAGTCTTGGCAATGATTTTTGGATTTGACACCAAAATCGAAGGAAGCAAAAGGAAAATTAAACAAGTGGGACCACATCAAACTAAAAATCTGCACAGCAGGGCACTTGGGCAGGTCAGTTGGTTGAGCACCTGACTCTTGATTTTGGCTCAGGTCGTGATCTCAGGGTCATGAGATGGAGCCCCCTATAGTCAGGTTCTATGCTCAGCAGGGAGTCTGCTGCTCTCCCTCTCCCTATGCCCACCAACTTGTATGTGCTTTCTCTGTCTCTCAAACAAATATATCTTGTAAAGAAAAGATTTTATAAACTAAACTAAAATAAAATAAAAATCTGCACAGCAAAGGAACCAATCAACAAAATGAAAAGGCAACCCACAGAATAGAAAATATTTGGTAAAACACACATCCAATAAGGAGTTAATATCCAAAATATATAAGGAACTCAACTAGTTAGTAAAACAAAAACAAAACAGCAAAAAATGAAAAACAAAACACGAAAAATTAAAAATGGGCAAAAGACCCAAAGAAGACATACAAATGGCTAACATCTGAAAAGATACTCAATATCACTCATCGTCAGGGACATGCAAATCAAAACCACAGTGAGATATCATCACCTCACACCTGTTGGGATCTCTATTACCAAAAAGACTCTTACCTTTACCAACCTCTCCACGTTTCCCCCATTGCTGGTGAGATGTGGAGGAAAGGGAACCCTTGTGCACTGTTGGCAGGACTATAAATTGGTACAGCCACTCTGGAAAGCAGTATGGACATTCCCCAAAAATTGAAAATAGAACTACCATGTGACCCAGCAATCCCACTCCTGGGTATGCATATTCAAAGGAAATGTCATCATTGTCTTGAAGAGATATATGCTATATGTACTCCATGTTCATTGCAACATTATTCACAATAGATAAAAGTCTGGAAAAGCCTAAGTTTCCATCAACAGATGATGAAGATATATATATATAAAATGGAATATTATTTAGTCTTTAAAAAGAAATTCTGCCATTTGAAATAACTTTGATGGACCTGGAGGGCATTGTGCTAAGTGAAATAAGTCACACAAAGAAAGACAAATACATGGATCACTTATACATGGAACTAAAGAAAAAAAAATCAAGCCCATAGAAACAGTAGCATGGTGGTTGCCAGGAGGTGGGGAATGGGGGAAATGGGGAGAGGTTGGTAAAGAACACAGACTTTCAGTTATAAGATGAATAAGGTCTGAGAATCTAAAGTATAACCTGGTCACTGTGGTTGTTAATACTGTATTATGTAATTGAAACTTGCTGAGAGTGGAACTTAAGTGTTCTCACACAAAAAAGAAAAAGGTAAATATGTGAGGTGATGGATGTGTTAAGTCAAATGTGGGAACCCTTTCATAATGTGTACATATATCAAATCACTTTATATACTTTAAATATATTACAATCTTATTTGTCATTATAGCTCAATAAAGCTGAATAAACACACATGTGAAAACGATGTTTGTGAACATGCTACTTGTTTGCTACATTGACCAAAAAACCCCCAGATTCCTGGGTCAACTCTGACCTACTGAATCAGAATTTCTGAGAGGAAGTCCTGAATCTGCATTTTAGCAGCTGCATCCTCAGGTAGTCTGAAGACCACATTTTGAGATAAACCCAAGTGACCACTGTAGTGAATTAATAAGATTTTTAATGATATATATTTTTTGGCACATATACTAGGGATTCCAATTATCATCACTGTCTGAAAGAATACAAATTTTGTATACAGAACTTAAGAGGACTTTGTCATAAACTTATCTTTTAAGTTAGCTGTTTTATAACCAGAAAGAATAAGCCAATGAGAATGAAAATCAGAAGCTTCAAAAGATAACAATGAATATCATATTTCACAGAATATTTATATTAGTTGGGGAAGAAAAATGTTCCATGGATGTCATTTTCCCATATCATAAAATAAACAAATGAATACTGAAAATGTATCTTTAAAAAAGTGATGAATTTTAAAAAATTAATACTATAATGATTATGCAACAAATATATAATATAGAATAGGTTTTGAAAATACAAAGTATTTATGATACACGTATAAAGCATACACACACACAAAGATTTAATAATAGTATAAATATACTTTGGTTAACCTTACGAGTTAAGGATATTTTGAGTAACTGAATGTTATGCATAACGTTCAAAATATACACATCTGAAGAGATGACTTACATATTTATTTGTGACAGAAGAAAAATCAGTTAATTTACTGAACTAATTTGACAGCCTAAACCGCAGTACTCAAGCAAAATCTCTGTGCATTTCATATTTACAATCAAAACATTCCTGAGTTAAGAGAAAAAAAAAGCCTGTCTTTATAGCTTCAAGGAAGTACTGTCAAGTAAACTTAGGGGACTTCCAGAGGTAGCAAAATGGGGTGGGGAGAACTGTAGCATGATCACATTTTTCTGATAACTGAAACTTAAACTCCTGGAACATAGCTGCACAATTTCTACCCTGAAAGACTGGTTCCTTCTGAGGGCCCAGGTCCTCCTGAACCTTGAAAATAAAGGGCAGAGTTATGACCTCAGAGCTGGGAATCAGAAATCAGATTCTAAGGGGTAAGTCAGCCAAGGATACAGAGTTCTCTAGAATGGAGCTTTCTTGGGACATGAATCATGTTTATTTTAGACACAAAACTTTCTAGCTCCAAATGGAAAAAAAATCATTTTTACTTGATGAAAAATGTCTCTCTGCCAGAATGTTAGGGAACAACTGAGTCGTCCAAGCCCCAAGGCTCTCTGGCTCATTTGCAAAGTTCCCTTTCTTCATCTGCTATCTGTGCCTCCTCCTTGGCCTTGTGCCCGGCACAAATTCTCAGTTCTACCATTGTGCTAAGGACAAGAGTGTGTCCGGAGCGTATGCTGCACTCTCCAGGGAGTTTGTCTACCTCCTCCAGGTAAGTCCGTGTGTCTCAAGAGGATCCTCAGGACACAGAGGGCATGTTGTGCCTGATGAAAGAAACTCTGTAAGCCTGCCTCAGAACCTGTCATTAGTCCATACCGTAGCTCTCTGCTTCCGGGAGAGTTCCTGCATGACTTTTACAGCTGTTACATGATGTACAACTTTATTAACTTTAGTTGCAAACTTGAATACACACACAACGCTCTATTTACCGCTAATAAACGAATGCTACGCGGAGTGGGGTTGTGTTCCTTTGAGCAGTTGCAGTTTACTATAGTGCTGTAAAAATAATTCTAGGCTCTTAAAAATTTCCAAATGTGATGCCTGTTCCTGCAGAGCCTCATTTAGACAGTACCCATATATTTACCACTACCACTTAAAAAAAAAT